TCCTCCTCCCTCAACCTCCCTCCCTCCTGCCTCCTTCCTCCCGATCACCTCCCTCCGTGCCTCGTCCTCCTCCTCCCTCCACCTGGCTCCCTCCCTCCACCTCCCTCCCTCCCTCGCTCATCCCTCCCTGTTCCTCCCCTGAATTTTTAGTAAAAAAAATTAGTAGCAAAAATTAGTAACTTAATACTTTATACTTTCTAGTTTACTTAATTAGTTAAAAAATTAATTGGTAGAAACATGTATTGGACACTTAGTTGGAATGCTATATACAAAAAAAATAAGGAATAGAAATTTTTATGTGTACAAATTTTTCAATATAGAAATGTATAGGAATGCTATATGAGAAATTTTAGGTATCACATTTAGTAATAGAAGTTTATTGTAAGAAAAATTAGGTATAGCAATTATAGTAATAGAAATTTTTAGGAAGTGTTGAATAGAGTAGAACTAGGGTATTTAGTTATGTCAATCTCACATTGCCAAATTTAGAGAGAGAGAGAGAGAGACCTAGTTTCTATATTGAACCAATGTGAATGAGCGTCAAGTTTGAATGCTCATGTGTGGCGCAGGGTATATCAACGACGAGCCGGTCAACGACGCCCAGAAGATCATCGACGACACCCGCACCCTCGACAGCCATCCTCTATAGTGAGTAAACATGTATATTTAGTGTTGTGTACTAGCTAGTGTTGCTCAAATATGATGTAGATATAAACATGTATATCTAGTGTTGCTTGATGACCCACAAGTATATGGGATCAATTGTAGCCTTTTTGATAAGTACGAGTGTCGAACACAATAAGGAGCAGAAGGAAATGACAAGTGGTTTTCAGCAAGGTAATGCATGCAAGCGCTGAAATTGTAAATAACAGAGTAGTTTGATAGCAAGATAATTTGTAACAAGCAAGTAAAGGTAATAGTAACAAAAGTGCAGCAAGGTAGCACAATCCTTTTGAGGCAAAGGACATGCCAAAACAGTCTCTTATAATAAGCAAAGCGTTCTTGAGGGTACACGGAATTTCATCTAGTCACTTTCATCATGTTGGTTCGATTCGTGTTCGCTACTTTGATAATTTAATATGTGGGTGGACCGGT